CCGGCCAGCACGGGGCCGGGCGCGGCCGGTCGGCAGAGCGCAGCGGGGTCGCAGAGGGCACCGGCGCCGGTGTGCATCTGCCGCACGACCGGGGAACGGAGGGGGAGACACCGAATGTGGTGCCCCTGCTCCAGGGCCTACCGGGAGGCCGTGGCCGGTGGGAGGGAGCCAGCGGCAGTCCCGCCTCGGACTCCCGTGGAGCCATCCGGGGGCGCTCCCAGTGCCGCAGGCCGGGACGGACAACAAGGGGGCGCAATCCCCTTCTCGTTCGAGGAGGTCGCGACTGCCGGCATTCGCACCCTGGAGCGGGTGCCGGCGGCCGCGAAGCCGCAGGTCTCAGCTCTCTTCGAGACCGTGCTCAGGGCAGCCACCGATGATGCCGGGTGGCTGCGGGCTTACGCCTTCGCCCCCCTCGTCCTCTCGGCTACCCACCGGGGGGGGCGGAAAGCGGTGACGGAGGCCCTCCGTCGCCGCGTCCGCCTCTGGAGGGCGGGGCAGCTGGAGACCCTGTGGGCTGAGGCCCGGGCCGTCTCAGCCGGGAAGGGCGATCGCCGCGCGCGCCGGCGAGCCTACCCGGTCGCAGACGACGCCGATAACAGGCTCGAGCTGCAAACGGACGTCGAGTCCGTGGACGACCTGGACGGGGCCACCGTGCGGCAGGTCCTCCGGCGGGCCCGCGACCGATGCTACTCGCGGGCCGTCTCTGCGCTTTCCGCGGCGCAGACTGCGCCGGCGGACGACGCCACGCTGGCGGCCCTGAGGGAGCTGCACCCCCCTGCCCCCGAGTTGCCTGACGACCGCAGCTTGCGGCCCGTGGCCGTAGCGAGGCCCTCCCCGGGCGTTATCCGCCGCGTGCTGAAGAAGATGCCGAAGGGCACCGCCGCTGGGCCGTCCGGCCTCTCTGCGCAGCACCTGCTCGACCTGTGGGACGTCTCCGGGTCGTTCAAAGAGGCAGTGGCGGACGCCGTCTGGGCCCTCTCTTCCGGCAGAGTGGCTTCAGCCGCCCGACCGTACCTCTTCGGGGCGAGGCTAGTTCCGCTGGTCAAGAAGTCCGGCGGGATCAGGCCCATTGCGTGTGGAGAGATCCTGCGACGGGTGGCCGGCAAGGTCCTCGCTTCCGACCGGGCGATCAAGGACCTGGGAGCGAACGTCCTTCTGCGGAGTGGGCAAGTCGGAGTCAGCGTTAAGGCGGGGGCCGACGCTGGCGTGCACGCCATCCGCAGGGTTGCGGCCCTGTACCGCGACAGGGACGTGGTCGACAGGGGCATCCTGCAGATCGACTTCGCGAACGCCTTCAACACGCTGCGGCGGGAAGCGATCATCTGCAGTGTCAACCGACACGCCCCCCAGCTGTTGGGGTACGCACTAGCGGCGTACGAGAAACACTCCGCGCTTGTGGTGGGCGACCGGGGTATCTCCTCCCAGTGCGGAGTCCAACAAGGGGACCCCTTGGGACCGCTGCTCTTCAGCCTCGTCATGCACGATGTCGTCGTGCCGCCGAACCCCGGAGAGCAGCCACCCGTCCCGGCGGCCCCGGCTTCGTCGCAGGCGCCCGTCGAGTCCGCCCCCGCGTCGCTCGGCCAGCCGGAGCCTCTCGATGCCGCCGGGGGGCGGCCCACCCCTCCAGAACCGGCTCAGGCCCCAGGTTCGGGGGACCCAGCGGTGCCACCGCCGCCGCCGGTGGGGTCCCCGGCGGCCCCGAGGGCCACGGATGGCGCGCTGAGCCAGGCGGGGCTTGACCTCCTGACGTTCTTCCTGGACGACGGGGCGGCTGGGGGTGAGCTCGACACCCTCGGTCACTGGCTGCAGGGCTTCGAGGACAGAGCGGCCGCGGTCGGGCTCAGTCTGAACCGGGGGAAGTGCAGGCTGTCCGTTGCCCCCGGCGCCACAATCCCCGAGGCCCTGCAAGGCATCGAGACTTTTCCGCTGGACGATATCCAGCACCTCGGCGTCCCCTGCGGTTCCCCCGAGACGATGCGCGCCTTCGTGGAGGAAGCGGCCAAGAGCGCCGAGCGGAAGATGCGGATGATAGCCTCCCTCCCCGACGCACATGTGGCTCTGACTCTGCTGAAGTTCTGCGCCGGCTTCGTCAGCGTCGTCCACCTCATGCGCGCTGTGGGGGCTGTCTTCGACTTCGCGTGCATCGATCAGGCCACGCAGTCTTGCCTGGCGACGATCACGGGCATCGAGACGGACGCTTCCGCCTGGGCTCTGGCTTCCCTTCCCGTCAGGCTCGGTGGCCTGGGCCTGCACTCCTGCGCCGACACAGCGGCGATCGCGCACATCGCGGCTACCTTTGACGGCGAGGCTTGCCTCCCGTCCCTGGTGACCCCCTACGTGCTGCCGCACGCCATGCTTCTGGACGAGGACGACACTTTCCTAGCGTCCCTCGAAGACCCGCGCCTTGCACCCTTCGAATCCGTTTTGGAGAAGATCCAGAACGTTCTGCAGGCACGGGATAACTACGGGGGACGTGGACAGAAAGTGTGGTCCGCGACAGTTCATGACGAGCGACGCAAGGCCCTCCTTATCTCGATGACTGAGGAGCTGGGCAGGTCAGGCCGGCTTCAAGGGTCGGCGCTGGCTCTGAAGCAGGTCCAAGTCCGGGCGCGGATCCAAAGCTGCTCCGCCCAACATGCGTCCGCTTGGCTTTATGGCAACGCGGAGGCGGACCCCAGGCTGTGGCTTTCTCCCGCGGAGCTCGCAGTGGCCATCCGGCTTCGGCTGGGGCTGCCCATCGCCCCCATGCCGAGCATCTGTCGCCTCTGCGGGACAGGCTCGGCAGACGTCGACGGAGTGCATGCGCGAAGTTGCTTCTCCGGCGGGCGCCGGACGAGAATGCACAACGCACTCCGCGATGTCATCGCTGACTTCGCCCGCCGTGGCTTGCTGGCCCCGGCGGTCGAGCGCCCCGTGTTTTCGAACACGGAGCGGAAGCGCCCGGACATCAGCTATGTCCGGGACGGCACCACCGTTGTGCTGGACGTCGCCGTCACCTTCCCCCTGCAGCCTTCGAACCCCCAGTACGCTAAGCGGGCGGCGGAGAAGCCAGGGGGGGCGGCGACAGCCTACGCAACAGCTGTTAAAGAAGGTAAGTACCGCGGCATAATAGACAACGAGCCAAACCCTCGGGAATGGCTCGCTGTCCCGCTAGTCGTGGACACCTTCGGAGCGTGGTGTCCTGGAGCACTCACGGAGTTGCGGCAAATAGCTCGCAAAAGCGCCCTCCGTGAAGACCGGACCGCTTCGGCCGCCTGCCAGGACTTCTTCCACCAATTGAGCTTTCAAGTAGCCCAGGGGGTGGCAAGAATAGTCATTTCATCTGGCGGGGCGCGACCGGACGAAGCGGTCCACCCTGGTGCAGGGGGTAGTGTCACTGCATCGCGGGTTTTTTTACCTGGTCGGACCTGCTTGCTAGCAGGCCAGCCCAGGTCGCAGTGAGACTGGCGTTCACTGTGTGCTGAAGAAGCATTTTTTTGGGCTCCCGCTCCGGAAGCAACCGGATACCGGCAGCCCCGCTGTACTAACATGTCGAGTACAGTGTCCCGCGCTCCAAAAAAAAAAAAAAAAGCGCCGCAGACGCCTCCCTAGCTCAGTCGGTAGAGCGCAAGGCCCTTAACCTTGTGGTCGCGGGTTCGAGCCCCGCGGGAGGTGTTTTTTTACCAAGAATTTGGTTCCAAGAATTTGGTTCCAAGAATTTGGTTCCAAGAATTTGGTTCCAAGAATTTGGTTCCAAGAATTTGGTTCCAAGAATTTGGTTCCAAGAACTTGGTTCCAAGAACTTGGTTCCAAGAACTTGGTTCCAAGAACTTGGTTCCAAGAATTTGGTTCCAAGAATTTGGTTCCAAGAATTTGGTTCCAAGAATTTGGTTCCAAGAATTTGGTTCCAAGAATTTGGTTCCAGAATTTGGTTCCAAGAATTTGGTTCCAAGAATTTGGTTCCAAGAATTTGGTTCCAAGAATTTGGTTCCAAGAATTTGGTTCCAAGAATTTGGTTCCAAGAATTTGGTTCCAAGAATTTGGTTCCAAGAATTTGGTTCCAAGAATTTGGTTCCAAGAATTTGTTCCAAGAATTTGGTTCCAAGAATTTGGTTCCAAGAATTTGGTTCCAAGAATTTGGTTCCAAGAATTTGGTTCCAAGAATTTGGTTCCAAGAATTTGGTTCCAAGAATTTGGTTCCAAGAATTTGGTTCCAAGAATTTGGTTCCAAGAATTTGGTTCCAAGAATTTGGTTCCAAGAATTTGGTTCCAAGAATTTGGTTCCAAGAATTTGGTTCCAAGAATTTGGTTCCAAGAATTTGGTTCCAAGAATTTGGTTCCAAGAATTTGGTTCCAAGAATTTGGTTCCAAGAATTTGGTTCCAAGAATTTGGTTCCAAGAATTTGGTTCCAAGAATTTGGTTCCAAGAATTTGGTTCCAAGAATTTGGTCCAAGAATTTGGTTCCAAGAATTTGGTTCCAAGAATTTGGTTCCAAGAATTTGGTTCCAAGAATTTGGTTCCTAGAATTTGGTTCCAAGAACTTGGTTCCATTTGGGTCCAAGACAACACGGCCGCAAGAGGTTTTCCCGCCCGCGCAAACGGGCTAGTAACGCCTGACCGTTCCGGATGCTGCTCTTCAAGGAACGGTGCTTGTTTTTCATTCATTCATTCATCCCTTTTGGGCCCGCCCAAATTGGGGCAGCATGTCAGGAGACAGGGTGAGTAGCGACACCCCCCCCTATGCCAGCACAGTGCGAACCTTGGAGCCACGGCGTCGTGCCTGGCGTAGCAGACTCAAGAAGATTAGAAAGGAGCCCCTTCAGCCAAACACAACACTCACCAAACCCCTGGGTCAGAGTCCTCCCCCAGGCTCCCAGAGCGCAGGCACTCTCTTTTGCTCAGAGAAGTAAAACACCCCAGACCCAGGCCCGGGCGAGACATGTGTCCGCTTCGAAAGGATAGCCCCCACACCACGGGCCAAAACCCATTACAGTATGTTATCCAAACTTTGAACGAATTACAGTATGATCCGAACTTTGAACCCATGACGGTATGTATCCAAACTTTGAACCCATTACGGTATGGATTTTCAAACTTTGAACGAATTACGGTAGGTTCCAAACTTTGAAACCCATTACGGTATGATCCCAAACTTTGAACCCATTACGGTATGGTTTTCAAACTTTGAACCCATTACGGTATGGTTTTCAAACTTTTAACCCATTACGGTGAGGTTCCAAATTTGAACCGATTCCGGCATGATTTCTAAACTTTGACTCTCAAAGTTTGAGCCCATTTCGGTGTCACTGTCAGGTTATAAGCCCAACACCAACGAGATACGTAGAAGCGGACGTGGAGAGAGATCATAGATGTGAAGTTGGCGTCGATGGATCCAGTTTGTGTCTTTTGGCACATGCTCGAGGTTGGCTGCTTGCTTTGGACCTCTCGATTGCTGAAGGACCTCGCACAGATGCATCCCCAGGGGAAGTGCTCGGGTTTGAAGAAGAGTCGGTGCATGGTTGGGCAACCACCATGGCGGCGCACTCGCCCCTGATCCGCCCACCCCAGGGTCCGGTCCAATGCCTTCCTTCCCTGTCCAGCCGGTCGGCGGTCCGCCCGGCCCTCCGTCATCAGACTTCATGGGAGGAGGTCCCGACGAGTCCACTTCCGATTCGCGAACTAGAGTCGGACTTGGAGTCCTGAAACTTTGTGAAAGGGTTCCAGGGTGAGGTTCACGCTCGAGTCGACCCTGTGGCTGAAACGCCGCTGCTACTTCCGGATCCAGACGGCTGCCGCTCGCGGAGTCAGACCGACTGCGAAGTAATGCTGCTCGAAATCTGCTCCCTCTGTACGGGGGCACGGAAACCCACGGTTGATTAGCCAACTTTCACTGCTGATCATGAAGTTTACTCATGAAGTTTTACCCTTCCTCCTCCTCATCTCTCTCTTTTCGCCTTCCTGTTGACGCAAGTGATGGACAGAATCATCTGCGAATGGCGCGAACGTTCCACAGCTTCCCAAAACAGCTTCTTCCGGTCCAATCACAATCCGGACGTGGCCGTTGGTTTCACTGCCTGCTGATCACGAGGTTTACTACAGCTGTAGCAACAGCACACAGCCAACCGTTCACGTGTCACAGACTAACGCCGCATCTTTGCGTTGAACGTGGATTTCGGAGGTCGCCGAATTGGAGATGAAAGTGAATCTGTTGCTACTGCGGTGCAGAAGGATGATGACTTAGGATCGGCCAACTGAAGACATGGTAGCTGCAACCATCACCCGTCCGCCTTAGAGTCTGACTGATCGACCACTGACGTGGCACTGTAGAGTCACCACAGAAGATGAATTTGTCGCCCAATTACATGCGTTGTTAACAACTTGCAGACTTCGACTGACAATGGTACCTAAATTGGGCTCAAATTTTACACTTGCCGGAATTCGTTCAAAGTTTGAAAACCATACCGTAATGGGTTTCAAAGTTTGGAACCTACCGTAATTCGTTCAAAGTTTGGAAAACCATACCGTAATGGGTTCAAAGTTTGGATCATGTACCGTAATGGGTTCAAAGTTTGGATAACATACTGTAATGGGTTTTGGCCCCCCACACCACACACTTTTCCTCTCTGTCACGCACACAACGGCACCGCGTTCCAGGCGCAGCATTTTCAGGGCAGCATGTCAGATGACAGGGTGAGTAGCGACACCCCCCTAAGCCAGCACAGTGTACCACGGGATTTGGATTCGACGAAAAAGGACGCTTTTTCTCTCCCCCCAGCCCCTGACACACCAAAGCAAGGGCTTTCAGCCCTCGGAGACCCTGCCTGACACGAAGGACGCGCAACCGACATTTCATTGTCGATCCCGAGTGTCAGGTCAATCTGCACCTTCACAAGGTCAGAACCCCCTGCACGTAGCTCGTCTGACGAGTGCCCGGCGTGTGGGGGGATGCGTAACAGTTACAGTCAGTGTGAGACTTAGCTATAGCTAGCTGATAGCTACTGCTGTGGCCTAACTTTTTGCCCATTCACGAACATTGAAATTTGCCCAGGTTGGGATTCGAACTCACCACCCATACATCCAAAGAATCCCAGCCATTTTTGGGTTCGCCATTTCCGATTCCGATTTCCGTCGGATCCGTTCCTCGAACAAGGTGCCAGCATTGTGGTTGGCTGCTGCGTCCCGGCTCGGTATCCTGGTTGCGCACTGGGTCACTGACACCGCAGACTACGGGTAAACGGGTTTCTAAAGGCATTGTGCACACAGATTCGTGCATAATTCAGGTATGCGCGAGTGACCAGCCCGTTCTACTTGTAGCGCTTCCTAATTCTGTGCCGAAACCTCTTCAGAATCAGAGCCACTGTTTTACCACGAGTAGTAACCAGCGACGGGCGCGACGTCACGAATGACTCCAGAGGAGGAGCGGGAGAGACTCAGAGCGGTAAGTAACGCCGCAGCCAATCAAGATTTGAGTGATGCTACTCTTACAGTAGAAGCTGCAAAGAAAAAGTGCCAGTCGTCTGAAAATAATCAGGAGCTGGCGGATGGTGACTGGATCTTGTCCTCCCTGCCGCAGGCTGGCAGGCTCGCCGCCAGGGCGCATGGCAGGAGCCATTTCTCCTGCCATCATGCAGCCATGTGCCAAGTGTAACCGCTGCCACTTCAACTCTGAAAAAAAGTTGACCAAAAAAATTGGACCCCGAATTTTTGCCCAAAAATTTTGACCCAAAAATTTTGTCCTAAGGGCAGACTATTTTTATTTTTTGATCCGCGTCCCCCGACCCTTGAAAATTTTCCGCGCGCGCGTGCAAAAAAAAATAGTTTTTTTAAAAAAAATAGTTTGGCAAGTCACCTGGCCTGTGGGTTCCTGTGTGGAGGGGGGGGGTCTTGGTGGCAAGCGGTCGGGGGGTGGGGGGCCGGAGGGGTACGCGCCCCTCACTTTGATTCTTCGGCGACTTTTTGCACTGGGAAATAACTGTCGTCTGCATGTGCTCAGGCTTTTTGTTGTACGGAGGGACCAGGTGAGCCTTCAGTGTAGAGCTGCTGCCACCGACAGTAGTAGGCGTCTAGTCGTGGGCCTTGCGACTGCCTGGGAGCAACCGTGTTGTTCGGCGTACTCGGCCAGAATTGGTATCGTACCCACGTTTCGGACGGGACGTGGGCATCGGCCGGAAGCCGCTTCTGCACTTCTTCCATGAGAAGCCGGATGCTTGCGGGGGCCTCAACCGTGAGGCGTGAAACTTCTCCATGACGCCTCTCGTCCACGACAGTACCGCACTTCTCAAGAACGCGGCCCATGGCGTCCCAGTAGCCGTCGTGTTTGGACTCTTTTGACGAGCTTCGGAATGCAACCTCACTGGGGTGAAATCAGTTGTGAGGAGTTCAGCCAGGTGGCTTTCGGTTGGTGTGCGCAGGGGGTTCACATCTCCAGTCACGAACATGTACATCGTCTTGAGGATGGTACGCGGAACCCCAGATGACTTCCAGACCTCGACGAATTTCATCCTCATGGCCCGGGTGTGGAACCTTTTCCCCGTCCCGATGCACGACTTGAACGCCTTGCGACATCCTCCTGTAGGCGGCGGTCGCTCGGTGGCAGCTTGAATACCAAGCGCTTGCCCCCCAGCGTTGTATTTGTGGACACCGAAGGGGAAGCTCGTCTTTACCCCGTACCCCG